GTGAATACATCATGAGAGTGAAGAAGTTCTTAAAGTCCAAACTCAGTGGAGTAAATACCATCAAGGCTATTAACACCTGGGCAATTCCATTCATTAGATACACAGCTGGAATAGCGGACTGGACTCAAGCAGAAGCCCTGGATAGGTAGGCCAGAAAAATCAGGACAATGAATCGTGCCCTTCATCCATGCAGTGATGTTGGCATACTCTAGTTACCAAGGAGCATGGGTGGGTGTGGAATGTTGCAAGTACACTAGACAGTTGAAGAAGAAGAAAGGGCATTAGAAGAATATCTGAAGGACAGTGAAGAAGATGCACTGAAGCTAATACACCATGAAGGTTTATTGAATCTGAAGGGACCAAACTGGCCTACAAGAAAGACCAAATGAAGAACAGAAAAGAAACATGGCAAGACAAAGTATTACATGGCCAGTACACAAAAAAACTAGCAGGCAAAGCAGATAACAAGACTAAGAGCAAGAAAGTTGAAGAAAGAGACAGAGGGGCTAATTCTGGCTGCACAAGACCAAGCCTTAAGAACAAATGCATACAAAGCCAGAATTGAGAAGACAGCAACAGCAAATGCCACCACTGCAAACAAGCTGAAGAAACAGTGGACCACCTAGTCAGCTGCTGCAAGAAGATCACACAGACTGACTACAAACAATGGCATGACAAAGTAGCAACAATGGTGCATTGGAATATCTGCAAGAAATACCATTTGCCTGCAATTAAGAACTGCACACAAAACAGACAAAGTAATAGAAAATGAAGAAGCTAAGGTACTCTGGCATTTTAGAATTCAGACAGACAAGCACGTGCCACATAACATCCCAGACTTAAAAATTGTTGATAAGAAAGACAAAAAAGTCTTTGTAATACCTGGAGACAGCAAAATAAAAGAGAAAGAACTGGAGAAAATCACAAAATATTGTGACCTGCAAATAGAAATAGAACAACTCTTGCAAAAGAAAGCAAAGATAGTACCAATAGTAATTGGCACCTTGGGTGCAATCCCAAAACATCTAGAGTACCACCTGAAGACTATCAGCATTGGGAAAATAACCATCAGTCAATTGTAAAAGCCATTTTTATTTCGAAAGGCTTATATCCTACAACGATACCATCAAACAACAACATCTGCCTATCCCAGGTCCTTGGGAAGGACTCAATAGGTGGAT